CCCCCCTGTGGTGGGGGGGGGGCGATGGAGGAGTCCCGCCTGAGAAGTCGTCCTCGACGTGATTTAACTGGCCCTCGAGGACAATTGGATTTGTGATTAACAAGTCAATTTAACTATTCGCTCGTGTTACAACTGCTGGGAGGAGCTTTTAGTCACATCGGTTTGTTTACTTAGAGGAAATTTTAAAACACTGGTGATCAGTTTAACAGTTTTACCTGACTTTTCAACAGATTAAAATAACGGCCATGATAGCTCCTGGCACGTGGCTCAGTTTTCTTTTTTTGAAATATGTCTTTATTGATTTCAGAGAGAGGAAGGGAGAGGGAGAAAGAGAGAGAAACATCAATGATGAGAGTCATTGATCGGCTGCCTCCTGCACGCCCCCGAGTGGGGATCGAGCCCGCAGCCCGGGCCTGTGCCCTGACCAGGAGTCGAACCCCGATCTCCTGGATCCTAGGTCGCCGCTCAACTGCTGAGCCACAGTGGCTGGGCTGTGGCGCCGTTTTCATTGATGGAGGGGAAGGTTCAGATGACGTCGGGTTTTACTCCCTAACTGCTGGCAATCAAAGCCTCTTAACCCGGTTCCGATAAACAGCTGCTCTCTCCTGACGCCCTTGCTTGATTGCCCTGTGGCCGGCTCCGCGGGGCCCGTGAGGATCAGAGCCCACTGTCTCCGCACAGCCACCGCGGACTCCCGCCGAGGGTCCCGAGCAGGAGGCCGAGCCCGGCAGAGCTTAGGGGACGAAGCCGATCGAGGCCCCGTCGGGCGTCCTCCAGGCCTCAGCGTGGGATCCGCCTCGGCCTCGGCCAGCTCCGCCTCACTCAGGACAACGGGCAGCCCCGCTGTCGCCCGCTGACACGGTCCCCCTCTGCGTGGGGCCGGGCGGTTCTGTTCCCGTCGTCGCCTGTGTGTTCCCATCCCAAGGACACAAAGGCCTTCCCCGGCCCATCCACCCAGGCGGCTTCCCTGCCCTCTGCCTCGTTTTGGTGACTTTTCTGACGCGTTTTCCATTTACAGGAGAGCCACAGGGACAGTGTAGGCGGGCGGGCAGGCCCCGAGGCCCCCGAGGCCCCCCAGGCAGCGCGGGACGGAGGGAGCTGGGTCCCGGCCGTGTGGCAGAGGGGACTGGCTCCAGGTGACACGCGGGGGCGCTGGCCTGGAGAAGACGGAGTGGGCTTTCTGAATGGGAGGGCCGGGTCTAGAGCCCGCCCCCCCCAAGGCCGCAGTTCATCAGCGGCTGTGGAGCGATCGGGTGAGAAAACGGGTGAACCAGCAAGCAGGCGACCTGCGGGACCAAGGGCGCACAGCGGACAGGGACACGTGGTGGAGCTGGTGCTGACGCCGGGGGTGCCTTCCTTCACAGGCCCTGCTTGCAGCGACGCTGCACTACCCGGGGCGCAGAGGGGAACAGAGTCAGGCCACTGGGCCGGGCTCCTTTGTCAAGATGCCCGCCCTGCGGAGCTGCCCCTGCGGCCAGGAGGACTGTGTGTCCTCCACGCAGACGGCCCTTTCTCCAGCCCGCCCTCCACAGTGTCCTCAGGTGCCTCCACCTGGAGCCTCAGCGTCTGGGCGGATGCGGGGTCAGCCCCGGAGACCCGGCTCACCCGGCCCGAGCCCACCCGTCCCCTCCCCTCGCTCCCCGCCTCCCCACGTGGCCGAGGGGCCCCGCTCACCCCTCTCCCGCTGGCCGTAGTCCCAGCTTTGGGCTCATCCCCAGCCCTTGGTTCTCAACACCTGGACTTTCAAACGCTTTGTGACCAGCCTGAGAATTTCCCGGAAAGACCGCGTCAGACGGTTAATGCCCGAGGAGCGGTCCTCGCGTAGCCTAAATGTAACCGCAGACTTCCACATTGAGAAAGATAAAATGGTGTGGATTTAAAAGTATTCGGGGGACCGTAAAATGTCTAGGATTAAAATTTCAGTACCATTTGTGCCCAATAAACGTGAACTCCTTAGTAACTTAAAACTGCGCAGTGATGACTCAGGTCTGAAAAGCCTGCGCCCCGCTGGAGGAAACGGGCATGCCGTGCGGGGACCCTGCTCCCATCCTCTGCCTCGAAGGGCGTCCTGGGGTCGCACCAGACGGCAGGAGCGCGACCTCACGGGAGGGCAGGCCCGAGGCATCGCCGGGCTTGTTGAGAAAGGGTCGCGTTCTCGCGAAGAGACAACGGCTACACTTCCCATGAGGAGTGTTCGTGGGAGCTGGGCTGTGCCCAGCCTGTCGGTGTGTTAGCTGGTTGGACAGGCAGGACCCCAAGAAACAAGATCATGTAACCGCTTATTGAATGACTTAATTTTTTTTTCATAAGCCAGTCTAGTCGGTCGGAGCTGGCAAATTAATTTTGTCTATAGATGGTTCCCCGAAGCATATAAATCAGCCTCCGCGAGGCCGGCGCGCGGACGGGCATTGTGCTGAGCTGATTCCCTGGGGCTTAAGGAAATGGACTTAAGTCCTGATGCTACTGAGCCTGGAGACTCCTAACAGAGGGCTGGTCGCCAGCAGAGATTCATCCATCGTTTTGAGAGTCACCGTGTGTGCGCAGTTGTTGCTCCTTGAAGGGCGAAATTATACGCCTTGATTGTGACAATCTCCCTCACGTGCCACGGGTCCTGAAGGAAAAGTTAGAGCTTTCGTTTTAATGTTTTGTGGTTCGATTGACAGAGAGTTCATCAGTTTTGTCTTTTAATATGTTTTTATTGATTTCAGTTGAGAGAGGGAGGGAGAGGGAGAGAGAAACATCCATGATGAGAGTCGCTGACCGGCTGCCTCCTGCACGCCCCCCACTGGGGATCGAGCCCGCAACCCGGGCATGGGCCCCGAACCCCGATCGCCTGGATCCTAGGTCGATGCTCAGCCACTGAGCCACACCAGCTGGCAAGAGTTTGTCAGTTTTAACACTTACTATGAATTACTCGATCGTGGTGTTTCCCTGGCCTTAACTTCCCGACAGTTTCTCTGACTCATGTATGTCGTGAGCTCCTGACGCCAACTCCTCCTGACCAGGATGAAGACCCGGCTGTTTTCTTTTTCATGCAGGGGTGACCTTGGGGAGCACCTCAGCACCTGCCACGCCACAGGCCGGGATGAGGGACGAGGGAGGAGCCTATGAAGTCGTCAGTGCCTCGCTTTTGAACGGAGACACCTGGGACCCGGCGCGGAGCGCCCGCGGAAAGGTTGGTGTCGGTTTGGCCTGTCTCTCGACTTTCCAACGGCGGAGGCTGTCAGGTCACATGCACTGCGTTCCTGTTCTTTCGATCAAGGTTTGTCTTTATGGTAACGCTGACTTTATCCACATAAAGCGAAAGCTTCAGTCTCATGAAGAGGAAATGCAAACCCGTTTTGTGTCGGTTTCGACGAGCGGCATTATTGGCATCTGTTGAAAGTTGTTTTGCAAACACATCCTGGGGAGTCCGCTGACAGACACACACTTTCTGTGTTTTCCTTTCTTGAGAGCTGGGTATTTTTCCATAGTCGTGTCTAGATCATAAGCATTTTGGTTTTATCGATCACTTATTGCTAGAAACATTTTAATGCAATTTTTAAGAAAATCTGGTAATGAGTTTCAGTGCATTCCCGCACTTTGTTTCCTCGGATGTGCTTGATGTGCGTCTCCTGCGATGTGAACGGGTAATATAATTGCAGTATTAATGATTCAGTGAAATATTAAATATTTCGATGCATTTTATCTGCCAAATCGACATGACTTTCTAAAATTTCAGGACTTGTTGGCACAGTTGGAAAGCGATAAAATCCATAGAAATATGAGCTCTTTGGAGAGATCATGCAGATGGTTTTGTCCTTGTGTCATGTGGAACTATTTTTAGATTATTTTTCATAATAGAAAACAGGTGTGTGTTTTTTTAAAAGAGTCGTTGCGATTGTGAAAATCCTGTCTGGAAGGGCTGCCGGGGGCCACCTTTATGCCAGTAGCAATGACACGGTTTACACCACCGCTTGAATTTTTCAGGGGGCCTCTCAGCTGAGAGTGAGCATCTTCCCCCCCGCCCCCCGTGATTGAAATATGTGACCTTTATAAACCATGAATTAAGCCATCGACAGGCAGGTAACTGAGCCGACCGAGTCGGGAACGGGGAAGGACGGGACCTGCGCGCCTGGTTCGCTTGGTTCATTCGCGCCTCTCCCGGGAGGGTAGCTTGTCCGCCTCCCCCCGTCGTGGGGTCATTGTGAGAATGAGATGAAACAATGGCTGTCAAACGATGTAGGAAACGAGAGACTACCACGTACGTGGAAGGCGATCTTCAAAGTTGAAAGCGTCTTGAGGGACCACCCCGCGGTTTCAGGTCTTGAGACAGGTCAACCCCGGACCCAGGAAGACTGCGGAGGCCGGACGGTCCCGAGGCGACCGGGTGAGCCCACCTGGGCGCTCCCGAGATCCCCCCCAGCTGTCCTGCGAGAGTGAGCTCAGGGAAACGGGACAGCAGATGGAAAGAAAAAGGCGGGCGGATTAGGACATGAAACCAAAGCTCCCCTCAGCCCAGGGCGGGTCCCGAATATCAAATGTCAAACAGCTGCTAATGAAATCGGTGGATCCCGAGCCTTCGCTTCCATCTGCCGGTGTCACAGCTGAGGACAGGATCCCTGCCTCCCCCAACCACCCCCCCTCAGCCGCACTCGCCCCTCGGAGGGGGGTCACATCCCCCCACCCCGGGCAGCAGCTCTCACGCCCAGTCACCGATGCCCTGCCGAGGTCACAGGCGGTGGCCTCCCCGAGCCCTGAGCCTTTCTCTCTTTATCTTACTGATCTTGACGCTGACTCTCCTTTGAAATTCTCGATTCCCTTGGCTCCCGGGACCCTGCTCCCTCACGATTCTCCTCATGTGTTTTTAATTCTTGTTTTCAGTTCTCACTTTGGCCCTGACCTTTAGCTGTTGGTTTCCCCTGAGCTTCCTCCTGGACCCACTTCTGACCGAGGGCTCCCGCTGGCCCCGTCACTCACCCTGTGGCCTCGCTGCCCGCTCGTAGCCGGAAGGGGACGGGGGCTCACATTAGGAACAGCAGAACAGCAGCCGGCACCCTTGGGCCCCTGCCCTGTGTGCAGGCCTGTGTCAGGCACTTTCACATGCGAAGCTCCCCACGTGTCTTCCACCGACGCTGACTTAGCCCATCACTCACTCGCCCTGACCCCTGACGTTGGTCCTTGACCTCCGGTGGATTTCAGGCACTGCCGGCTGGAAGTCCCCAGTTCCCCTAAATGCACGGAGACCCAAAGTGGACCCAGCCCCCGCCTGTGTTCTCTATGTAATGGCCCCTCGAAGATGAGACTTTCATCTCCCGTGTCCCCTGGAGGCAGAGGTGGGCGACCTCTCACCCCGCAGCAGCTTCTCGAGGTCAAAGCTGGTCCCTCAGCATGGTGCCCGAGGCGCTCTGCAGGCCGGGCGCCCTGACTGCGGCCGGAGGCCCTGCTCTGGCTCAGCCGCCCCCTCTCCGCGGGCAGCCTGCCGCCTACGGGGCCGAGTGCTTCACCCACCCCGTGCTCGGCATGGCGGGGGCCTGAGTCCTGCTCTCTCCTGAAGCCCCTTCTCCTGCGAGGCCCCTCTGACCTCCCAGCCACGCCGGCCCTTCCCCGGAAGCCACGTGCATCTCTGTGATGTGGTCACAGAGCACACACCTAACTCACAAAAAATGAGCCTGCGGACATGGCAGAAGCAGATGCTGCGGACACACGACTAGGGTCGTGCATCTATCCTCTGATGACCCCAGGGAGCATGTGGCCAGGGTGGGCGTGCGGGGAGAGATGAACCTGCTGTCTTAGTCCCCAATTGTGATTCTAGCTCTTTTTGGATATTGTTATATACCAGGGCCCCCCAAGAAGCCAACTCAGCCATGCCCAACCCAAGAAGCAGTGTCCTGGGGGGAAGAGGTGGCCGTGTCGAACTCGCACAAAAGCCCAGGTCCCTCAGATCCAGGCCAGTGTTCTCTCCCCAGCACTGCGCCCCTGGGAAAACCTCCAGCTTTTCCCTTCATGCGTCGTACCAGGACTGGTCTGTAAGTCTGCGCTGCAGAGGCGATCGCAGGGCTCCGAGGGCGGGTGGGGGAGTGGTCCCCGCCGCACCCCCCTGCTGGCCGACCCTCCGAGGGAGCTCAGGCTTTCTTCAGAAGATGTGAGTTCTCCAGCCAGCTCCCTGCCAGGGCCTTTCCTGCTCACTCTTTCTTTTTGGCCAGCGCGCCAAGGGAAAAGCAAGCCAAGGAACTGTGCTCGGTTCCACTGTGTTCCCCCCTTGGGAGCAGACCACTCAGTCAGGGAAGGCACTGGGACCATCTTTCCATGGCGCTTACCACTAACTCATCTATTTCTTGTGACCTCTTAGCAACACACCCGTATCATTAAAAAGAAAGATGTTTACTGAGTCAGGCCTCCCTACAGTTTCGACAACACCCCCACCCCTCAACCTCGAGCATCAACATAGAATTGGGTCTTTAAAAAAATTGCACAAGCTCTGGCTGGTGTGGCTCAGTTGGTTGGGTGTTGTCCTGTGCACTGAAAGTTCGTGGGTTCGATCACCAGTCAGGAAACATGCCCGGGTTGTGGGCTAGATCCCTGCCCAACAGGGGGTATGCAGGAGGCAGCTGATCAATGTTCCACTCTCCCATCAATGTTCCTCTCTCTCCCTCCCTCTCTCTAAAAATCAATAAAAATATTTTTAAAAAATTATACAAAATGTACCAGTTGCATCTTGTATATTTTCTGCCCCAGCCCTAAAGTCAAGGAGCCCGGGTTCACTGGCGAATGGCGTTAGACACCACGATCTGGCCCTGGTGTGCTCACTGCCCCATGGTGTTGCAGCTGCTCGGCTTTCTTAGCGGGCAGAGTAAGGAAATAACGTCCGTGCTCTCGATAGACTTGAATAAACGAATCTTAAATGCTGGGTCATAACTGAGGCACACCATGCCTTTGTACACAATATATTTAATTCTAAACATTGCATTGAGAAAAGTTAGCAGGAATTGGCTTTTTATGGCTAGACCTATATAGGTCAAAAAAACAAGAATGGCTATTTTCAGTAAACTAAATCAGTGCTTGAAATCAAACCCAATCATTATGACCTCTTTCCTAAAATGTTATTTTAAAAAATTAATTCCCAACTCTTCAGCATTTGACCTAACTCTGGCTTTTCATTTCCCTTAAGTTGACCCGTGCCTCCAGGCCGCCTTTCTGCTAATTGGGTAAAATTAATCCGACCTTTTTCTGAAAGTGGCCCGCAAAGATTTGAGGCTGCTGACACAACCATTTTCATCCGCAGTTTACTCAGCGAAGGTACGAAGGGTCTTCTTTTTGCTACAACCTTCTAATTTTCAAGCATATAATTTAAAGACATGGTCGTAAACCCAAACAGAGTTGGTGAGACTAATGAGACCAGGGTTACGGATTGTGTCTCTGTTAAGATTCCCCATTCCCACGGGAGCCATTAGCTGGGCTCGGTTTCTTGGTCTTAAGTAGCACGTCTGACCCCAGCAGGCATCTGACGAGGGACACCTCTGAAGTCATGTGTAGGGATCAGCCCAAATTCAGAACCATTTCACGCACACGATTCCCCACCACGCAGGGATCCTCAGGGCTATATTTGTGTATCTAGGTGACATATTTTCCATGTTTCCCAATTTTGGTCACCCATGACCCGTATGCAGTGTTTTACCCTAATTATAGAAGCAGCCACACTGCATAGTTTGGCAAGCTTGATGTACTTATTGATTTTTTTTTTTCCAAATACATAAAAGGATACAAATTGTTTAAATGAAGTGTGCTATGTGCCTCTTTAAGTGCATCTGCCTGGGGAAACACACTATACTGTTTGAAAACAATGTTTTAGACCTTCAACAATGTGTCAGTTTTTTCATCCAGGAGAACTTACTGAGGATCTCATCAGGGTGCCATGTTCAGCCAGCAGACAGCCCTGCACAAATTGGGGAGTGTGGGGTCCATTCACTCCCTAGATCTGGGCAGTTCAGAACCTGGGGGTGGGGGCGTGGCCCTGCCTGGGAACAAGGCACCATTCAATGGAATTCAGAGAGAAAAAATTTACTGATGAAAGATTATCCTGTTTTCCTTTGTGGTTTTTTTTTAATTTATTTTTAAATTTTTTTCAGTTACAGTTGACATACAACATTATATTTATTTCAGGTGTACAGCCTAGGGGCTCGACATTTATAGAAC